ACAATTAATGCAGAGGTGTGTGATAGAAATGGTGATAGGTAGAAAGAACCAAAGCAGATTTACACGCTATAAACTAAATTCTCACATCATATAGTCGGTGTGACTAAGCATCTCAATTTATGCACGGCGGGGAAGGTCCTGTTAAAGATGGAAAAGTTCAAGGCAACTCGCTCTACATCGGGTACCTCTGCTAGTAGTTAATAACTACGAATAATACGTAAAGATTTGGAAAACTTGTCTGTCATTTCATCAAACAGGATGTGGGACATTTATTGACATTATTATTCTTATATCTAGAAACTAGTCGTTTATATTACTTTTAATTTAAACCGGTTGAAAATAATCTTCATTCTTATTACATCAGGCATCCTGAGACAATTTTAGTCGATACATGAAAATAATTTCTTAATGAAACAGCCCGATTCAAGCTGGCTTACAGTTGGATTTAAGCAGCCAGGATGGTGCATGGATTTCATGATAACAAAAAACGATTGACTTAGAGAATAAAGGGAAAAATAAATTCGGTTACATAGTGTTAATTAGTAAGGATTTTAAATTTGATTATTTTTAAATTTGGTATAATCTTTTATTCTCTCAATACTTTTAAAAATTTTGCTGATTAGAGTTTTGATAGATTGCACGTTTTAAAGAGAATTTCCGACAAACAACGCTTTGTATTTAAGAAACATAACTGTTTTTCAACCAAAGCACAAACGATCATTGCTGTTTACTTTTCGATGATGCTTAGCCGTTTTGTCCCTTTACTTTTGTAGTTAACTTTGTGAATCATTAATAGTAATTGTTTTTTTGAATAACGATCAAAAATATTCAAATTAACCTTTATGAGTTCAGGCCGCGTGTTTATATATGTACAAGATTTCATAGATACATTAGTACATTCAATCTAGTATATTTCATCTAAAAATTATGACAATTAATATTTTACGTAGCATCAAAAATTTTAAATCTTACAGTACTTCTTTTATCCTCAGTCTTTTCTTTTACTTGAAACTGTATTTGGACTGTGTGAAATACTTGTACTATAATATTAGAAAAATTCATTTCAGCATAAAAAGCCATGTTGTTTCTCCCTTACCTGCCAGTGTGCACGAAGATCTTATAAGCTACATTTATTTCAACAATCAAAATAGAAAAATATAGCACAAAAATATCATCTCGAATATTTGTATTCTAGACACACACACACACGCGACAACAACAACAACAATAATAAAAAAAGTTTATTTTTTTTCTTCTTCCTGCTTATTAATCTGTTTTATTTTGCAAGGTTGTTTTTGGCCATTCACCATCTTTTAATGGTTGAGTTGGATGTTCATTTTCATTTAAATGCAATTCATTTAAAACATCCTTTTCTGTTGTTATATTTGTTTCAGCAGCTAAGTCTTCTAATTCTTTTCCTACTTCGCCTAATTCAATTTCTAAATCACATGATGAAGCAATCCAAATCATTTCAACGCCATTATAATCCAAGAGTTTCGGTTCAACTGAAACAAAACGGAAGGTATTAACATTATTGAAAATATAAAGGTTTAAGATTATATATACCTGGAATCCATTGTAACTGCCCAAATTTTTCTTGCAATTCTTTAGGGTAAATAACTTTTTCTTCGCGGGCTAGACCAAGTTGTGATGGATTTGGGGTTGTTGGGTTTTTTATTGCAACCTGAACACGATAGCAACGCTACATAATATGTTTCGAAGTCTAAAAAAATCTACTTACCGTATATGTACATTCTTTTTCAATATTAAATTCTTTTTGAACTGTTCCAATTTCAGCAGGCACTTCTAATACATAGGCAATATTTGTACGATTATCATGTCTGACCATCATATATTTTCCTGGAAATGGAAAAAACAAACATTGAGAATCAAGCTTCTTACATATGTTGCATTTTCACCTTTTCCTGCGATGCGATCCGCTTTTGACTGACGTTGACCTTGTGTAACTGTATTATATGTCATGCTCTCAAGAGCATCTTCAACAATTTCATCTATATTTTCGCCAACTTTTTCAACATATCCCCAAAAACGTTCTTTGTTTTCAACTGATGGCAATTTCTTTTTCCCAATACGTAATAGACGTGTTTTTGTTGTTGTTGATGATGAAAAATCTTCTTTTGGTTCTAATAATACATGAAATAATTGTACATCCTGAAGGGCAGCAGCTTCATCGACACCAAGTTTTGGTTTATAACTAAAGACAATATCGCCTTTTTCTAATATGATATTGGATGGATCACTATTGTGTGGATGATTATGATTATCATCATCATGGACTTGATCTTTTTCTTGAGCTGCTTTCGTCGTCTCATCAACTTCACTACTGTTATTATTATTATTTTCAGTTATACGATTACCATCACTATGATCGCTGGTCTCATTCGTTCCACTATTATTTAAATCCAACTTTGCTTCTTTATTTGCATAAAATTCATCACCGGATATGCTGCGTTTCATTGAACCATTATTTGTATCAGACGACATTCCGAATTAACGTAAAAGAAGAAACGTTTTTATCTAAATTTAATAGAAAACGTTATACATCAAATGGTTCCAAAATAAATTTCGTAAACCAGGATATAAAAAAGATTACGAGAAACAGATTTCGTATTTTAACAGTTACTGTCATTCTAACTTTTCTTCGCTTTCTGCATGCAACATACAGGCGTTTCAATCAGTAGTTGAACTGAACTGAACTGAAGTTAATTTTACCCTTGAATCAAAATCCAGTTCCTATCCCTGCTAAAGTTCTCAAAATCTCAAAACATGTTTTAATCTTTCGAATGCTGGACTGACAGAAAATAATTAAAGAATTTTAACGTGAAGCGAAGTCATAATATAACGATACCGGAAATTCGAACATTAAACGCTATACTAACAGAAAGTGAAATAATATCAAATCAAATTTCAGTCAATAAAAGTTCACATACATACTCTTATTTTTGAGGAAATAATCGCCTTGCTGATTCGAATATTAGTTCTAGATTAGGCAACGAAAGTCATAGTCAAGAATAAGAGAAGCACGTGCAAAACGTCCAATGACACTTTAGTCAGAACTACTAATATAGCGAATAATAGATAGTTTCCTTCTCTCTCAACGTGCACTCAATGACCGGCGATGATAATACAGAAGACTAAGTCAATCATGTCTGACTATGCGTTCTTAGATCACCATCATTGACCTCAGAAATATTAGTCGATCTCTAGATCGACGTGGACGGCGACTTTTTCCACAAAAAAAGGCAATCTTTTTCTGTAAAATTACAATCTTTTTTTGGCAGAGGTTCAGTATCTACAGTACAGCTAATATCAGCTATTCATCCACTATACAAGAGGATACGCAGTTCGTTCCTTCTGTGAGACAGTCTCTCATTAAAATGAAGTTCATGTGCAAAAGTAGAAATTTTGAGAACGCCATATCCAGAGTTGCCAGATGCTTAGGTCAGGAAAGCGGAAAAAAGCAGACTTTTTTTTCCAAAATGCAGAAAAAGCACTTAATGATTAAGATTTCTAACCGAGTTGCCTTTCTTGAAGATTTAATATTTCACTATTTTTCATACTTCCTTTCGGCAGCACTTAAGACAAGCTAATGTTTTTCTGTTAGCGCTCACTTCCGGAGCAAATTTCTGCTTTAGTTCCTAAAACCGTGCACATCTGTTTTATAAAAGTTGCAAAAGCATTGTTTCGGCAGATTATTCAGCCACCGAAAGCGTCAAACTTTTTATGAGAAAATGTAAAAATCTTCATTGCAGGAAAAAGCACAACAAATTCTGGAAAAGCGGACAAATTGCGGACAGCGGATACTTTGCGGGAAAAACTACAGAAAGCGGAATTTGTCCGCAAAATGCGGACCAGCAGGCAACTCTGATCATATCCCAAAAATGAAAGATAGTGGAGACTTTAAATTTTTTTGCAACAGCAGACTACGCAGCTCTATTTAGAAATATGGTGGAGATTGTTAACTTTTGTTTTATTTCTAAAAGGTTTGCTAAAATTCATCTTTAGGCTCTCAGTACGCGATTTACGATATACAAATGAAACTGGTTCACATGGGTCTTTACCGAGCTACATTATAAGATGACTCTTATAATTCATTTCCAAACTTACTGGTTTAGAAGTTATCGTTCAATCTGAAGATCTTCAAAAATTGATTTCGTCAGTTTCGTTAATTTTATTTATTTATTCAGTTCTATGATCGCGCACTGCCCGGGCTGCGGTTACTCCATCATGTGGCGACAATCCGTGTATTCTCACGTAGCTAGTAGTGCGGCATGTTTATTAGTAGGTACCACGATCCAGTTCGATTCATTTTAATTTGCTTGCAGACCTTAGATGCTTACTTCACTACTTCTGACGAACCTATAACCGCTTTTCCTCGTAGTCTTTTACTTGTATAACTCTATTTCGAAGAAGCAAATCTAGATGCAAAATGCTTTTCGGTTTGATTAACTCTCGCAACTGTATTTATATTTACGACAAAGCACATCAGATATCGGCAACTGTTCTCATCTCGCTTTCTCCAGCTGGACTTGGTGTTATTTGCTACCAGTTTAATTTGACCAAAACACAATATTTACCCGTTTTACGGTAAGTTCTTGTTTACTGTTCAAAAGGTCTTTAATTAATATTGATCTTTGACACTATTTGTGTTCAAGGTAAAGAAAAGTTGCAAGTACAATTAGGTGCTAGACAATACGAAGCTGAATTGTTAGAATAACAATGATTAGCTGAAAAAAGAAGTCGGAGTTTCATCATTGCTCAACACAAACAATAGAACACATGTTGCAGCAGAGTAAAAGAGAAGCGGTTAGTATTAACAACATGAATTAGCTGATATTACAAAGAAGAAAACTGTTAAATTACTGTGTAAAGTTCAACAAGAAAACGAAGGTGAAGAATGCGATATATCTGCGTCGAACGAAGATATCATATTCTGCTACTCAAAAATAAAACATGAGTTTTCAGAGAATACGGTTGATGTACAATCACAAACACCAGATAATTCAGCAGAAGAAGCGTTCAAACAGCTTAGATAACAATTTTTTTTACGAGTGCAAGAAGAGTAAGTGCTGTGTCAATGAAAATGCTAATCGAACTACTGTAACAAAAATAGTTTAGCAACACCAAAATTTAGTAATAAAGAATAATTTTATACTTTTGTTTGGGTTTTCATTTCTTATCATATTGATCATTCAAGAGGAATGAATTTTACTAGTTTTTACATGAATGATTCGAAGTATATCCTACTAAAGATAATTTTTTAGCAGGAAAAATCGAAATAAACGAATTTCATTACCAAAATTGATGTATTTTTTCAAGATAAAAATTGTCCTTTACTTAAAGGAACTAATAGATATGTACATTATTGATTGTAATTTCTACGATATTCTTTGTCTATTTTAGTGATTGTGATGGGCAATCTGATATTCAAAAATATACATAAAGTATCAAAGTAAAATCCATCATATATCGATCCATACATACAACTCTACCAAGAAAGTCCAATAAACGATATATATATGTATTTGTATATATTGTATTTTATTTATTTTTGTCATTTTTATATTCGTAATGAATCAGCTATGTTTTTTTTCTTCTTTTGGTGTAATTTTTCATGAGACGTACCTGATGGCGATCTAATGAATTTGTCCTTTTTTGTGAAGAGAGTGAGCATATGCCAACTTTTTTCATTTTTATTAACTAATGATGTTCCCTAGTCATGTAATCATATCGTGGGTACGACTTACTCAAAATATTATACCGGAGTACTCACTGAGTATTTGAGTACTGATATGAGTATTCATACTTGAATATATTCACTAGGGTGATACCTAATTGAATTGTAGACCAAACGTCACAAAATGAAGAGAACGATCTACTTCCAATAGAGAACATTTAACTTTATTTTCCAAAAGTGTTTTTTTAAAAAATCTGCTTTAAATCGTTCAAATGGGTGTGTTACTGATGTATGAGATGTGCTAATATAGTGACAGTTGAATTAAAGTAGTTCTACTGATTCATTTCTTCACACGAAAGTTAGTTGGTAGAGTGAAACGAGTCGGGTGTTAAACCGCTTTTTGAAAACTGTGAATATATGCCATTGTAGTATTATTTGTTCGAATATCTGATGAAGAATCTTATCTGACGTTTGTTGATATTTTAAAAGCTAGACTTTCAGCTTTCGCTCTTTTTGTATTGTTTTAGATTATTTTTAAGTCGAATCAATTAAACATTCATTTTTGTTATGTGATTAATAAATTTTGCTTATTGGAAATGCCTAATGGTAAAAAATCGAATAAACGTCGGCATGAACAAATATCTGAACCTGAAAAGCAAACAGTCCTAAAACAAACAAAACGCGTGGTCACAAAAACATTCACATCACAAATTGATTTAGCACAAGAAAATGATAGTTTTAAAGAAAATGATTCCGATTGTTGTTGTTCATCGTCTGAGAAAAAAGTAGACTTTGTTCAGTTAGAAATGAAATTAGTTGTACAAAAATTTGGTCCATTATCAAAAGCAAAAGCTTTAAAACTTGTCACTCCTTATTTTAACGATCCTGGACAAGATAAAATAATCAAATCAAATATGTTTATAGGTGCACATGTGTCGGTGAAAGGTATTGTTGTATTTATTAGAACATAACTTCTTGTTTTTCTCTGAAAAAAATGTTTTACTTTCGTTTTAGGTGGCGTTGATAATGCTATAGAAAATATTCAGAAACTGAATGGACGTGCTGTAGCCATGTTTTTACGAAGTCAGCGACAATGGAATGCAAAACCATTGACAGATGCGGTAAGATATTAAATATGAAACATGTGGAGTAATTCTGTAGATATTTTCCACCAAAAAGGTAGCAACCAATTTTCGTACGTTATGTGAAAAGTATAATTTTAAATCACATCAAATTCTTCCACATGGTATTTATTTAATGAATTGCGGTTCACCAGATGCCAAATTGCGAAAACAAAGTGCTGATTGTTTGTTAAGTGATTTTCAACGATGTGAAAAATTAGGAATTACAATGCTTAATTTTCATCCAGGTAATCAGTACTAGTCTTTGTTATAACCATTTAGACTGACTCCGTTTTGTAGGTTCAAGTACTGGTAAAACACCAATCGACTCTTCAATTAAACATATAGCAGAAGCAGTTAATTTGGTTTTATCAAAGACGAAAGGAGTAACTGCTGGTAAATTTCATTGCTATCGCTCGGTCAAAATACAAAGATTTAGATTACTCTATGAAGTCTCTATCTATGAAAAGTTGATCTGGAGAAGATGGAGACTTCATAGAATTATAACTATAGTAATAGTTTTAAGTCCTATATTCTTAGTGGCAAAAAAGGGACACTTTTACGTATTATGCGGTAGCTATTCGCCTAGGCAAAAGATGTTATCCAGGAGACAGTGCCATTAGAAATATACTTTGTTTTAATGTTTGTTTCATTTAGTACTTGAGAACATGTGTCGGCAAGGATATACAATAGGTGGCGACTTTCATGAATTACGTTCAATTATTGATTTAGTTGATGATAAAAGTCGTGTGGGTGTTTGCCTTGATACATGCCATGCGTTTGCCGCAGGTAATTATTTTGGAAAATGAAACTTTTTAAAATTGACTTTGGAATTGAGTGCTAACTCAAATTCTAATTGACTTAATATATGATTATATAATCTCTCATGATTCTGATGTTGTAAAACTTATCGGTGGATAACAAATTTCATTGACTTTTGATGAAAAATATGGTTACAAATTTCTAAAAACCTAACAGATCACTAGAACACTGTTTCTCAGGACTCGTTTATTAAACTGTGTTTTTTAATAATCGATAGATTTAAGCTGTTCTTTTAGATAAAAAAGGTTGGTTGGCATAGCCCCTTTGGGGCTTAAATGCGTAACTTCTCTAGCTAGTAAAAAATAGGTTTTCAGACCAAAAACTATAGCGTAAGAAACCATCGATGTATTCTATGACTTCAAATAGAGCCAGTTTTCACTAAAATTTGAGTGAACAGTAGTATAGTAGCAATATGTTCTAATGATAGGACCCTCTCGGAGACAATCGTACAATAAACTAATAGCTCTAATAAATGATGAAACGCTGAATTTAACATACGTCACTCTCCGCGTCCACTTAAAGGATAATCTTCATCTATCCCTTTCAGAAACTCTCCATACACATTTAAGCCACTGGGCATGTCCATCTTCAGGATCGTCTTTAGGATAAAGTCTTGGAGAAATCGTTAAGGATTCAAGTATAGAACTGTAACTTCTTTAGTCTTCGGATTAGTTGGCGGAGTTGCACAAAACTTTTCAAGTTCTCTTTGAGAAGAGTTATATGAGTCAACGTTAAAAGTTACTCAAAAACTAATACAAAATGACGATAGAGACGTTAGTTTTACTATAAATGTAAAATACAGATATTTTGCATGTCTCTGGACATGTGATTTGCACTAAAATCCCAAATTTTTTATGTTTTACAACCTCTGTGAAGTTCGGTGTTTGTGCCAATGAGCGACGTAATGGTGGTATATACTACGTGGATTTACTCATTTATAGGCTATGATTTATCAAATGAAGATGGTTATAATAGTATGATGAATGAATTTGAGAGTATTATTGGTATAAAATATTTGAAAGGATTACATTTGAATGATTCAAAAGGTAGTAGAAAGACCTCGTTCTTATCCTATTCAGATTTATAACTCATCAGTTTGTGTTCTCAGGCGAATGTAATAGTCATCTCGATCGTCATGAACACATTGGTTTTGGTCATATTGGTCTAGATGGATTTCGTCGCATAATGAATGATAAACGCTTTTGCAATATTCCAATGGTACTGGAAACGCCGCCTGATGATGGAGTATTATACGAAAATGAAATTCGGTTGTTGTATAATCTTATCGAATAGCGATGACAAAATCTTCTAAAGTTTCTTTATTTTTTGTTAAATACGATATTTTCTTTGAAATGTTGAAATAAAAACTTGTACAATTTTATGAAGGAATTTTATGTAGGAGAATGGGATGCATTTGCGTTTTATGAGAATGCATTGAGTGTTCTTCTAAAATTATGGTGAGAAATAATGATTATCATAAAAGTCTTTCGTCAGATTTCACTAAGTCATACGTACAGTGCAGTATGCTGATGATTAATTAGAATTAATTCATGCCATAAGAGCGATAGGTTTTAGAACTTATCACTGTATTATAAACCTTCCTGAATATATATATAGCTCGTGAACAGAAGAATGAACAGTTAAGTTAAAAAACTGACGAAAAAATCACACATAAATACGGTAAAACAGCAGAATAATAATAACTGAGATTGAGTAAAAAAGTTACAAAAAAGAAAAAATGAATTGCATAAATACAGAGTAAAAAGATAATGTATACTTCAAAATTTTTCATTGATTTTTAGTTTTGGGTGAAAATCTTAGTAATTTTTTGGCATAAAAATTCGAAAAACACGAAAGTCACCGGCTAGGATGAAAGAATACATCATTCGACTCAGTTTTCGAGGCTGATTCTGAATATGATATTTTTATTGCATAAAAAAATGAGTTCTGGTGGGGAAAAATGAGAATTATGGGCAGAATTGTGATTTTTTCGCTTCTGATCTAGAAAAAAGTCATCCTAGCCGGTGACTTTCGTGTTTTTCTCAGTGAGGAAACAAAATTAAAAAAAAGCGATACGTCATGTTAAAGCTGTTCGAATGAGATAAGAAAAATGGCAAAATGTATTCACACAAAAAACAAGATAGGTTTGCAAAATGACCTACTGTCGTTTTGGACAGTCAGTTCAAGTGAAGCCGACTAAATCAGTTTTTAGGTTTGAGATCCATCAAACATTTTCTCTATACTCAGTTTTCAATGCTGAATTAAAAACAGTTAGTTTCAAAACTTGAAAGTAGAGAAAAAATGCAAAATCTGAATTTTTTGAAACTGTTGCGATTTTGAGCAAAATCAGTCTTTCAAAAATTTTCAAAATTTTCATCCTTAAAAAAGCTTTTTCAAAAATTAAAACTGAAGTTTTTTTTACTCGGTTCGATGTTCTCTATCCAACCACGTATAAATATATCAAAAAGAAAAAATTACTAAAACTGAGAATTATGGGCGCCTCACTCTAATCCGAATCTTTAGATACAATATATTTTGTTGTTAAAGGAAAAGATAACAGCTGAGTTGAAAGCTGGTTTTTAGTATTCATAGAGAGCTTAAAATATTGAGTTCTTTCTTTTTGAATGTTACTACAGATACAAAAATAATCTAGAATAATATCTGGAAAAAAAGTCACGTTTTTTGTGGGTTTAAAGTTTGACAGCCAGAAGGAAAGCTTGATTTCTATGATGTCAGCTATTGTTGCCATGTTGCGTTATACTCAGAAAATGTCAACAATCGTATCGATCATAAATACTTTGGTGATTTCATCTCTCTCTCTCTATTTATATATGCTTGGTTGAATGATTATCATGGTGATACGTTTTGTAAAAAAATAATTTCCGGATATTGTGTTTAATCGCATGAAGATGAGAATTATTTTCAATGCTGTGATGTCATATTAGAAAGGTTTCGTTAGTTGTCAGTGAATGAATGAATGAATTTTATTTTTACAAGCATGGTTGTTACAAAGAAAGACTGGCTTATATTAATGTAATATCGAAAAAAGTAAAGAATTAAAGACGACACCAGATTAAAATAACATCATGCATATATTACGACAAAAAAAATTTGATATATATATGACAGATTCATACATAGATGGCACAGGAAGGGATGGCATATGTTAGATGAAAGAAGCATGGGTCTAACAGTGGACAATTCTGGCTAAGCACGTGGACATGAGCTTTAGATGTGATGTAAAAGTATCTAAACACTTTTTCTATAGGTTTGCTGATGTTAGTAAGCAGAGAGAACTCGAATTTTCCTCAAAAACCAAGGTTTTTGGGAAAACCTATAACTAAGCTCAGGAGCATTTGGGTTATTTTGGGCTAACAGCATCAATATATCGTTAGTAGATCCATGTCTGGTAAAAATCTCATCTTATTTGGAGCTTCGGAAAAAGTCGGAAATCGACTATACTGAGGTCTACTCTTTGGAAACCACTTAGCAGAAAGAAAATCTTTTTTCTCGGTGATAAAGCGTCCAAAAAAAATCTTTTTTTATGGTTAGATAGAATGGAAAATCTAGTTTCGTACTATATATAAGTTTTGCAAATATCAGACTCTGTTTTACCACCAAAACTAATTTTTGTCGCATCATCGCTCTGTTTTCCGATAAAAATTTGATTCTCTGCTTTCTCGCTAATTATGACATCTAGAAAAAAACTTTCAATGGCAAAAAGATAGAGAGTTTGCCGAAGTATATGTTCTACTATTTGAATTTGCCAAAAGTCCACTTGCGTTTTTTCACCTAATGTCCACATGTTGCCAACTGTGGGTCTTTCTAAACGACTGTCGTGAAAAAATTAGATGTCTTTGTCAGATAGTGCAGTTTTTCCAGTGTATAGTAGTATAAAAATATGACAGGCGAAAATATTTTCTACGAGTATAGTCTTCATCATACAACAATTGCTTACAAATATGAAAATAGAATAAATTTTGCCTAACAGATTTTATTTTTTATCTGATTCGATTAGATTTTCACAAAAACGAGATTAGAATATATTCTAACCTCATCTTTAATAAATAGACGAACTGAACGTAGCGTGCATGAATCCGCTTTTTACTTGCAATATTTTTTTGCTTTTTGTTAAGCAGAGTTCCTATTAGCAAACAATGAGAATTAATATTTCCTTTTTTCTACTATGTCACTCTATAATCACAACAAGGTAGATCATACATCTCTGTTGTAGAGAGTGTTCATACAAATGTGAATAATAAAATTATACCTTAATTCAATAATGAATAAAAATGTGTACTAAACTGATAAAAGTACATCATGTAAAGTATATATAATTATTTTCATTGCTGAGAAGTGTGTATTGAAAAAAAAAATCGATTGACGTATACGATTATATTATTCTAATAATCGTGTGTTTAGTGATTTAACGACCGATGACAACGGTGCTATATTAGTTTTACTATAACTTCTTTTCCTCTGTTTGTTCTTCCTATGAAATAAAAAAGAAAAGTGCTCTGAGAGTGTATAATAGTTCATTTTCCTTGACTACTATTGAGATTATTCCTCTATACATTTGTTTTCTTGTTTTATTTTATGAAAAAATATATTTTTATTACTTCGATACCGTTAAATATAAAATCAATGAATTAAATATTATCGCTGTTGGACTAATTGTACTATTTTTATAATATTTAAATATATTTTATTGCTTTTTTTGTGGCTATGAAAATATACAGTTTCAATTTTAAAATTGTATAAATCACTTAATTAAGACTAATAACACATTTCAAAATGCCAAGTTGCATAAGAGCATTCTTTTCTGGACTATGTCTAATGACGGTGAGTTTATGATTTAAAGGATGACAGTAAACGTTAGACAAAAAATAATCTATTTTCGAAAAACTTGAAAAAATGTGAATAATGGTTGTAAATTGTATTGAAATTTATCTATACATGCTTCCTTCTAAGAATGCACCGACCCCAAGCGGACGCTTATAAAGATCACTATTTGCCGCTGTTATGCATTCTCACTTGCGATCAAGTTTTGAGACGAGACAAACTCATTTCGTCGTCTCTACCTGTTAGCGGGATCAAGATCATTGAATGCCTCGAAAAATGAGTCGGAATTGATCATAATTGCTTGAAGTTACACGAATACAGCAGTTTTTACCTATTTTGACAAATTCTAAGGCATTTTTCGTCTAATTCATTGAACTTGATCTCGTTAACAGATATTTTAGCTTTCGTTTAGCTGTAGATAGTTGACGTTTGTCTCGTCTCAAAATTTGGTCGCAATTGAGGATTCATAACAGTGACAAACAGTGATCTTTATAAGCATCCCCGGGACGTTAGTGCATTTCTACTTATTTCCTATCAATTTCTTAAATAGTCGTCTTGAAACATCAAATGTTATACCAACATACTAACTCGCTTTTACTATAAAAAGCCTCTGTTTTAAGATAAATATAAGGTCTATATGTGCTCTGCTAATAGTAACATGCTTCGACACGGAGTTTAAGACTATTAACTTTTTTAACATGTGGCAACGATCTCCTGAGAGTTTTGCTCATACCGTTTTTATTTGTGTTAGTACACATCCTTTCAGACTTATTGATCACTCTTTTTATTTGGGCCTTGCTGTAGCACAAAAAGACTTTTTCTAATATCTCCATGGAATTTCATGGCTTTACAAAAGGATAGGAACCTAACCAATAAGTCTTCTATGGATATCTAACGTGAACAGAATAAAGCAGAAATAACAATCAGAGAATCGAAACAAAAAAAGGAGAGCTTTTGTCAAAAGAGATATCTCCTTATTTGTTAGCCAAATTGAAGACAAATAAAGCAGGCTGCACTCTACTCTCCACCTCCTACTTCCGTTACTCTTTTTCTTACAACTTGCTTAAACTATAGTTCAATTTGTTCAGAATGACTTTGTAAACCATTTTCTTATATCTGTAATATTTTGTTAAACTAAATTTAATCTCATAGATTTTGACCTTTCTAAATTGTTCACTCATTCTCATTATCCTGGCGCCTTTTCGTCCTTAAATGAGAAGTGTAAAATTTATTCGATTTTGTTGATTTGCAAGTAATGTTAAAAAATGTCTGTCGCTCAACTATCGGGATAGCTCACATGTCGGTCGCTCAAATATTCCTAGTAAAATTTTAGTCTTAAAATTATCTAACCGAGATCGTGTAAGATATGAATTAAGCTTTGAATGAAATTTAATGTCTCTGCTTTCATTCACCCTTTTATTTTGCTCTTATGTTTCTATATAAGTAATGCT